CTTAATAATATATTAGATCTTATTAAATATTATAATAAATTAAATAAAATAATAAAATATAAATATATATAATTATATAAGAAATATTAATAATTTATATATAATATTATTAAATTTCTTTAATTATTTTAATTTTAAGATTTCTTTAATATTTTTATTTTTTATAGTAATAATTATTATATTATTAATATTCTAGATATCCTTATAATATTATTAATTGTAAGCTTATTAAGTAATAACTATATAATTAATAAGTCCTCTAAGTTCTTTTATTTTAATAATTATAATAATAACCTAAGTATAAAATTATTTAATTTTTTTATTATTATTATTTATCTCTTTATCATTATTAGGGTTAGCTTAAATTAATATAATAAAAGTAAATAAATAATTAATAAATAAAAGCTATTAATAATTATTACTAAGAATAACCTAAATAATTATTATATTTAATATTATTTAAAGTAATATAAATAATTCTCTAAATAAGAGCTATTAATATATAATAATTATAAGGTTTTTAAGGGATAAATTAATTATATTAGTTTATATTAATAGAGGAGAATATTATATAACCTTAAAGGGTAATATAATATTATATCTAATAATATACTTAAGGTATTAAGTATAATTAAATTATATTAATAATTAAAGTAGCTATTATATAAGAAAGTATATATAGGTATATATTAAGCTAATTATAAAGGGATTATAATTATCTTAGGATTATTATAATTCTTAGATTATAGTAATCTTAAGATTATAATAATCTAACTTTAGTAATAATCTTTCTCTAATTAGTGCTAATGCCCGGGTATAGGGTGGTTATATGTATTGCAGAAGTTAGGTATATATTCGGCCGTGATACTGCTAACCGTTAATTGCGGCAAAATGATATAATACTAAAGTTTATCCTCCTCTAAATAATAATAGCTTTTGTTAAATGCCATTGTTCGAGACCCAAGCGGTGACGGCTATAAAAGGCATTCTCCCTTGACTGCAATAATCACAGGCGAGCAGGCTTTCTAACCATACGCGTATGGTTTAGTTAAACCATATATTGCCTATATATTGCCTATATACTTATATTATACGGCCTAAGGCGTATAACTATATATAGCTATACGCGGGATAAAGTTACTCCGAGGTAAAAAAAATAGTTATATAAGGAAATTAGTAGCGCTATAATACTTAATTACCCTCCTAGTTCTAAAAGGCCTCTCTTCCCGATAGATCTATTAGGTAGAGAGGATACTTTAATAGTAAGTTAATTACTTAAGCTAAGTCTAGGTAACTTAGACTATTATTTAATATCTCTATCGCTCTAACCCTAGGCAACTATTAAGGTCGCTTAGAGTCATATTATTAGACTTTATATTAAGATCTAATCGCTTACTTATAGCAAATAGGCAATATGACCCTGCCTAATATGTAATAGCTACTGCCTTATAGGTAGTAGTAATATTCTAAAGCATATAATCTTATGCGATTCTGCTCTTTTAGATAGAAATTAAGAGTTATTTATTACCTGATTTACTAAGGGACTTTCTGCCTTGCTATTTATTAGCTACCTATCTTAATCTATGCTGTTATCTTATTAATTACTTGCGATAGACTCTTTTCTTATTAGTACGCCTAGTAACTATGAGCCCTTTATAGTCGCAGTAGTTAAGACCGCTTCTAAAGTACCTAATAAGTAGAGCTTACCCTCTATTAAATCTTCTGCCTTAATAACTCTAAAGCGCAAATATATTACTATGGCGGATATTATATAGTAATATACTTGAAAACCTTAAGGATCTAAGCCTAAGCGCGCTAAGCTAAAATAAGACTTAGTATTCTACTATAAATACTATAGTAACCCACTATACTCTATATATATATCTACTATATTCCGTAACCACCTACTTAAGATATACTTAGTTAAAGCCGCTAGCTTAGAGCTAAATTTAACTAAGAAAGCGTAGACTAGCCTTATTAAAGAGGCTTTTAATAAAGCTAGCGAGATTAAGGTTACTAAGCTTTAAGAAAGAAAGGAATAAATACTTTAGAATATACTAAATCCAAAGGCTATAATAAAAGCCTTAGTCTAGCTAATTACTATCCGTAATCTTCTATATAATTATAACACATGGCTAGAGTTATACGCTCTACTTATAGCAATAAACTATACGGTAAAAGAGCTTATTAATACCTCCTATAGCTATATCTAAAAACTCTGCTTAAACTTATATGCGATCTATAAAGATATTCTTCGAAAAAAGCTATAATTATTACCTATTAAGCTTTACCTCTCCGCTAATATATAGAGCGCACTAAACTATAAAGCCTTCCTTAAAATATATATATAATTTATATAGGAAAGTATGAAAAATCCCTACTAAGCATTACTAGCCTTACCTAAACTTCCTAGCATAGATGGCCCTAGAAGCCATAGTAGAGCTAAGTAATAAAAGCTCCTTTAGCTAGTTTTTAAGGAGTATAATATCTTATGCTAGCTAGGCTATATTATAGGAGATAACTATGGTTCTAATAATATGCTCTATTATCTATTAAGCTACTTCCTTAAGAGATAAGGTATCGCCTAGAATATAAAATATTAATAAATTTATTACTATAGCTATATTATTAACCTTTATATCTAAGCCTTTCTCTTTATAGATAGCAAAGAGGCTATATGTAAGGCCTATAGGTAAATTAAAGAAATAAACTAAGCTTTATTTAATATAGATATAATATAGGATTAAAAGAAGTAAAAGGAGTGCTATTAAAGTTAACTCGGTCTGCTCGGTAAGTTATATAATATTACTATCTATATTAGAGCAAATGATTATAAGTATAGCCTCTTTTAGAAGTATGCTAGTAAAGTCCTTGGGCTCGATAATGATATATATTAGAACTTATAGTTTCTCCTATTAAATATTACTCTTAATAAAAAAGATTATATTAAGTAATATTAAGGTAAGTACTATGATGCTCTTATAGATGACTACTTAGCCCCATAGGACTAGTAAAACCTCCGCGAGATATAGAACTTCCTATAGCTATTTTAAAAGATAACTCTTTTTACTAAGGGCTATTATTTAATATTTAATTATATATTATTTATAATAGATATCCTCTATAAGTATTACTAATAAGCTTTTAATAAATATAAGATAAACTAATAGCTACTTAGTCTAATATTAATAAGCTAATATATCTTTAATAAATACTATTAGCTCTCTGATAAAAGCCCGGTATATAGTGTAGCGCTTATTCTCTATCTATCCCGAGGAAAGGCTTATATATAGAAAAATTAGCTAAAGTTATAGCATAAAAAGACCTTTATAAGAGTAAAGAAATTATAAGAAGATAAATATAAGAACCTACTAACTATTTATATTATTTCTTCCCTTATTTTAGTACTAGAACTAAATAAGTATAATCTACTTATATAGGAGCTTAATATTATAGGCATAGAGCCTGATATTAATAAATATGAAACTTATACCTCTTAGTTACCTATTCTAATTAATTACTCCCCCCTTGCCTAATAGCTCCGCGATAAATAAAAAGAGCGCTTTCCTTGATTATTAAAGATAGTAATAAATATTCTCTTAATACCCGCTATATCTATTAACCCTAAGTATATATTCTCTAGAGCATGGCATATAATTTTATATAATTAAATACTCCTTACAGTATCGATAATTAAAAAGGGGGAGTATTTAAAGAGCTAGATTCGTAGTGGCATAATAGTAGGGTTATAAGTAGAGGAGGTTAAGTAGTATAAGTATATAGCAAAGGAGGGAAGCATTAGTGCTCTAGAGGAAGATATAGGCCTTTAATATTATTTACCGTATTAGCAATATATAGTTTAGTTCGCTATATGAGAATAAACTATATACTATAAACCATATAGGTCCATATGGCGTATGGCGTATAGTTAGAAAGCCTGCAGGCAAGCACACCAAGCAGCTCCCACTACCTATTAATCAAACAGCGGTAATTTCAAACAACATGACTCGATACAAGCCAGTTGGCGGTAAGTGACGCTCCTTGGACTCTTTGGTTCAGAACTCAGATTAATCTTCCAAGGCCCTGACTCGCAAACCTCTGAGACCGTTGGTGTTATCACTGACGTCTTGACGGAGCCTGGCATTCAAGCCGATCGAAATGTCCAGGCCAGCCCTGATTCTCCCCGATACGAGGTAATAGAAGCTGTCCACAACCAATCGTGTTGGGCAAGCGAAACTGACATCTACGTTTAGTTTCAGAATTCGAACACCGGCAAGGTCACTACGGCGTACGATGCCAACATTTATACATGGGCAACTTGTTCTGTTATTCTGTTGCTTGTTCTGTATAATATGTTAATATTTTTTTTATTCTGTTATTCTGTTATTCTGTTATATTATTATCATGTTATGGCTCTCACACTACTCTGTTATACCTAATGGAATAATAGAATAAACAGGATAAGTGAAATAAGCTTGCCTTCATTGCTTTTATCACATCTAACGCTGAGCGTGGGGTGGTGAATCACGTCTGATAATGTTAAGAGATGTTCTTGAGTAATTAAATTGTATTGAAAGCTGAATAATTAGATAGACAGGAGATGTGCGAATGAGCGAAACTATCCCTTCAATTGTGCGAAGCCTCCCGCCAGGTCACTACAGGGGTGTCTGCCCAATTAAAATGTAAGAATGAAAGGTACATCATTTCTCTCCTAAATTAGCCCGTGATACTTGTTCCAACAATTTTCTGAGTTACAAAGTGCGACTTCGCATTGCTCACATCCCCACCTTGATTGATGCCTCTTTTTATTGTCGTCAGGTTCCCCGGATGTACCTATCATGTGACAGAGGTGATGTGGGGCGGAATACCTTCCGGAGCCTTAACACAATCGAGGGGATGCTCTATTGCTCTTGTATTTGGACCGAATCGATTTCATGAATGTAATGACTATGAACTCGCTGTCGCATTTGGGATGTAGCATGACATACATAGAGGACAAGTGTAATGATGCCTTAGATACCATAAAACAATGCAACCCGAATGGAAGCTATGCCCACATGATAAGCGGCGGACGGTATCGCTATCTAGCATCGCCTCCAAGCATATAACACTGTATATAGTAAGGGGAGCGGTTAGTTCGAGATCACGAATGCATCATCTTGTTTGGTGATTGAGTAACTTACCAGGTGACAAACGAGTCGGACCAGGCCAAATACCCTTCTGTGCCTTGAAGTTTTGCCTCCTTTTTCACTTGCTTATACGTCCTCGGCGGAGCTATTGAGTCTAACTGCTTCAGATCGCTAGTCTCAGAGTTTATGCTGCTTGACGACTGTGCGTCCTCGGGGTCCTCTGGGCTTGCGAGCTGGTTACTTCTGGCAATTTTATATCTGTATCTTTCCTATCGTTAGGCCTAGAAATACAGACCGGTACTCGTCGGTTTGCGGACGAATATACTTACATGGCAGGAATGATATAAAAGACACACATAACGCCGAACAAGATAAGTGTGAAGAGCCATCTCTCGATTGGCCGCATCGGTGTTTGGTCGTCGAGGCTAGTTGGGGAAGTATTTGATATCGTCATGATTAGTTGGCGATCGATCAATTACATCACGTTCCCGCTTACCGAAATGCACGAAGCTCGTGGTATGGGGATTTATATGCTCTGCGGCTTGGTGTGCATGCCAGCTGCAAGTTGCCCGACCATCTGCTTAATATGGTTCTGATCAACCCAATCGAATTAGAAGTGATGCGATCATCGATGCGAATGATGCGACAAGTGTTTCTTGGTGTCCCATGTGATTGGACACATTGCAGCCATTTTTGACCTGAAGTTGCAGGCAAGGTGGGGTACTCGATATCTCTTTCGCAGTGGTGGCAACAGCCAGAATCTTCGGCCGCTGTCTGGTGATTTCTTGCAACCACCAGCAGGGAACTCGAGACCATTTGCCAGTGCAAACGTCATTATTATGACAAATACGTCGATATATGTTCGTTCTGCGTGATCTCGCCTGTACTGGGTTATTCAGCGCCATTCTAGAATCACAATTGGCAGGTTTCATGAGCCTTCGCGAAGATGTAGGAACCCTCGATCTCGATCTTCCTTCCATCAACCGAGTGAGTATAAAGCAAACGCTTCACATCCTTTGTCAACCCAGATTCTTCTCATCATCAGAACACATACAGAAAAAACAACAACCACCAAACTTGCAAAGCATTTCATGCACGCGTGCAGGTCAACTCTTTCTCGAACAATCTCACGAAACCTAAAGTATCTAGCACTCAAGCCTACCCTCAACCAAATACGCACAATGGCTTTCTTCCCGCGAAGCCTCTATGAATCCGACGTCTCTTTCGCTCCCCTCTTCCGTCTCCTTGACGACTTCGACAGCTACTCTCGTCAGGGAATGAGCGGCCGTCGCACTAGTATGCCGAGCTGGCAGCCCAAGTTCGACATCCGCGAGACCGGGGAAGCATATGAACTCCATGGCGAGCTCCCTGGTATCAACAAGGAGAATGTCCACATCGAGTTCACCGAGCCCCAGACTATGCTCATCCGCGGCAAGACTGAGCGCACCTATACTGCCGGTACCCCCCCTGCAGGCCTCATCGAGGGCTCTACCACGAGCGGAGCTATTACCGAGGCTGGCGAGGGGGGCAAGAAGGCCAGTGAGGAAGTACACAAGTCCGTCCCACACGATACCGGCACTGAGGCTACTGAGAAGGAAAAGCCCAAGGCCAAGGAGCCCGTCGACAAGGCCAAGTACTGGCTCAGTGAGCGCAGCGTCGGCGAGTTCTCCCGTAGCTTCAACTTCCCTACTCCGGTCGACCAGGCATCTGTGACCGCAAGCTTTAAGGACGGCATCCTCAACATTGTGGCACCCAAGGCCAAGAAGCAAGAGTCAAGACGCATTGCTATCAGTTAAGCGATTAACGGCAGCTTCCGAATTATGACAGCTTTGCGCTGTTTTTAGTCTTCTCATGATCAAGGCTATTAACACCTCTGTTTTCTGGCATGGAATTGGTCTTTGCTGAGATTGTTTAATGATGTATGAAATATTGATGGCTTGCCTTGATTTCCTAGTATGGTGCTTGCGCTCGTTTGTGCAATAGCAGAATAATAATCAACGGCATCAGCCAAATGAATCAAGTGGCCTTGCCATTATGAATAATAGTGCCCGTTAATCAAAGCGCTCGGCTGCCACGACGAAACGGTTTGGTCGGCAGTCCGAACGGCATCGAACGCCCAGACTGTCAAAAATTGGGTCCCGTGAATGGAGACTCGAGCGCAAAGATTCGGCTCAACGCTCAAGCCAATCTTCCTTGTAATGCCCCAAGTCACTCGGGCCACCACTGCGCTGGTTGTGAGTCCCGATTCTGCGAGGAGAGCGGTTCTCCTAATGCCTTCGACGCTGGCACATCATTATCTTGAAATGATCCATCTAGAGCTAAAATCTCAAATCATTTGACGTGGCGATAGTTCCAAGATATCCGGGTAGAAATCACCCAATCGACTCGAGACCGGTGATCGAATGGAGCTCATGATATCTCATTTCCTTTATCGCCAGGACTGCTATGATGGATATTTCTCAGTGTTTCACCTTTTTCCCATGCCTTTTGTTTGCTCCGGAATAGTCCTTACTGTCACTACGTAATTCAGTCGCGTCTCCGCAACGGCATGCGCGACCATGCCCTCGCCAAACGGCCACTCGTTGGCGATCTCCTCACTCTCACGCACGTTGCACTCAATGAACTGCTCCGGGCCGCCCATGCATGGGCACGATGGACGCACGTCCCCTGAACCCTTGCCGACGGCACGGAGCCCGTGCGGTCCAGATTGTAGTCGATTGTCGGCTGCAGCACGTAGTGCAGCGTGTCGCACCCTTGAGGGAGGACTATGGTGCCGTCCGGGCTTGCCAGAAGTGACTCGTCGTGTCGATTCTGACGAGAAATACCTGCCCCGCAGGCGCCTGGGCGAAGACAAGGACGCCATCCCCATGTTCCCACGGCTTGGATGAGCGCACAGCGTACTCGGTAAATTCTTCTGGCTCATAGTTGAGTCCTTGAAGGGCTGAGGTAGCGAAGGCTTTGGCGGCTTCGAGGGTGCTGTGCGTACCGAGGACATAGACGGAGCTCGTAGGACCCGAAGGTTCTTGGTAGGAGTCGATTACGGTGAGGACGGTGTGGTAAAGGAGCTCCGGGACGTCGTTAGCTATCATCGCGAATGTCCATGTAGTGCCTCTTGAGTAAATCGTGTTCAATGCGTATGGTAAATAAAAGTGCCTGTCAATGTACTAAGATGGGGAAGAATGGGAGAGGCAGAGTATATTACATGTTATAGGAGATACCGCACCATTCTAAGCCAACTGTTGTGTGACCGGTCATATCATGCTTGTTATCATGCTTGTGCACATGCATGTTATCAAGTTGCGGCCCTACGTTGTCATATGACCGCGGAATGTTCCGAAGTGTGATCGTGAAGAAAGCTCAATCAGGTAATGGTTGTGGTACGGAGGAATCGGATATGCCGCACCCTCAAAGGCTTGATGGTCAGGACAGGTGTTCACTTTTAGGGAGGAGAGAATGCTCCGCGGCATCCCGCATTATCTAAAAGGGCACTTCAAGCCGCACTTGATGCTGCTGGCAACGCCACTGGTAATGAGCTCTATGAACGGCCCTGTCTCGTCCTGCAAGACGCGTACATCAGACCAGCCAGATCAGACGGCGGCTCAGAAAAGACGACCGGGGGGCATCGCCTCCAAAAATGGCTTCCGTGCTGTGGCTACGTAACTCAGCTATCCACAGTGGCGCTTGGGATGGGCGCATCAAATTACGACTCGGTGTTGATAATGAGGCTTAGTGACGGTAAAGGCGCCCAGGGTGTGGATATGCTTGTTCAGGAGGTGACTTGGTTGCTGTGCCCGCGGACGAGCTGCGACGGAAGTGATACACAGCCCCAGGACAATTGGTAGATAACATCAAACTGCAACATAATTCCCATTAATTACTTAGGCTTGATCTAAGGTGATATTCTTCCTAAGGACAGTATTCAGCCCCAATCTCAGGACTGATAGCCCTCATTGGCCCTTTATCTGGGTGTATTAGGACGAAGCAACTGTTCTTTTGTCACCCTGTTCCTTGATCCGCCACCAAATGCTTGCTGTAGACGGCCGATCTGCTCCTCGAAAAGGTACCCAGAGCTGGCGGCTGCCCTGCTTTGTGGCCTAGGACGTTCAAGGAAACCTGGACTTAAGTTACGCAAGCTCACGCTGGGTATACGGAGCCCCTTAACCTCATAAACCCTGAAGAGTTATCAGGCTACTAGCTACTCACGATATGAACTCAAACTCGCTGCACCCATAGCGAGGCAATTTATAGAACTACACAACTAGAAGAATAATACTAAGTCGTAATAAGCCGCATGCATCATATCATGTCTCACCCGCCAGAACGCAGCAGGAACCTATCTCGCTCCTATATTCAACCATACGCTCCTATACCTCATAACGGGAATTGCTATACGGGCATGACTTATTGTAACATCTGATTCGCTAGATTTCCGTCGACCCATAGATATATCCCCGCAAAGGCAGTGAAGCCAGCTTCGCTAACAAAATCTCCCTTTTAGTGTAGAAGCGATTAGGTTGGGCCAGCCCCGGCTGGTCGGGTCTGTCGCTGTCGTTTTCGATGATGTGATTGATCGCTCGGGCTAGGTCTTCGGGTTCGGCACCTTGAATTGCCCTCTGAGCTATAAGGAGGCTCGAATTAGGATATAATGAAGATTTTTATCGTCAAGGGCTGGGAACTAGCAATGGATAGTTAATTATCAGATGGAGAGCGTCCCGTCAGTCACCAAGGGATAAAACCTAGAGGTACAAATTCGAGCTGTCGGCAGAACCGAGATGTGCTAACAAAAGAGGGTCCTATCCAATCAGATGTTACAAAAGTTATGCCTGTGTAAGAGTCATGCCTATATAGCAGTAGTAGTAGGTTTTATTACGCCCGGGAGAACTAGTCTTATCTCCCCAATGCATACGGACCTCTACTATAGTTACGACGAGGGGTTATAGCTAATTAAAATACATAAAATAAAAGGTACAAAATTCCTCTGCTAAATTAGGTAATAATAGAAGTCCCAGCAATATTTACTTTAATAAATCGCAATATCATAGATATAGTATCTAAAGGTAGTCTAATTACGCACTTTTAGCCGCTTCCTCTTCTTCTCCTTATTGCTACTAACCTCTATAAAAAGGCTCTATTCCAGGGCTTTTATTCTTAGTTACCCTTACTAATACCCTTAATAGGCTAGGTAATCTAATTTAATATAATAATTAATAAAATTAATCTTATAGTCTATATATTTATATTATAATTTAGCATCCTATAGATTATACTTATTCCCTACTTAATAAAGCTACCTTACCTAATTATTATAACTATAAGTATTAAACAATTCATTATAAATATACTCTCGCCACTTCCTATAATTTATATATCTTTTCCGCTTTAGCTACCCATAAAGTTAAATAGTATAGCTATTAATAAGGGCTATATTAAGAAGAAAAGTCCAAGCTAATACCTACCATAGGCCCCGGCATAAGGGATAATTATACTTATAATATAACCTTAATTAATTACCGCGGTTAATATAATTCATCTCATTATTATAAGTAATAGCCACTATTAGTATATTAATTATCTTAATATCCTTATCACTAAAAAAACAATATATCGGCTTAGCTTCTAACTTCTTAAATAATAACTTCTTCCTCTACTAGACGATACGCTTATTATTAGCGCTAATAAATACAATAAATAAAAATAACATAAGCTTATTATCCTTCTAAGCGATTTAATTAACCTAGGAATATATAATAAAGATAAATTAATAAGGTCTTCTTAGCTAAAAGTATTTAAAGCTAATACTTAATTATTAAGGGTTAATATAGCTTTAATAGCATTAAATTTATATATTTTTTTAACCTTATTATTATTATTCTTATTTTTAATTAATTCCTCGCTAATACCACTATTTATATAAGCTATACTAATAGCCCTATAGCCCTACTTATAGAGGTTATAAAAGAAAGGTAGGGATAAGAAGAGGTTATCTATAAATATATAATATATTGATTTTAGTAGTATTTTTATAAGGCTAATAATAATAGCTTAGGTCGAATTTATTATTTTATTATTATATTCTATATTATAGATTTCCTTTGCGGCCTTATTTAAGACCCTTTTTCTTTTCTTATACTAGGCTTATAAAGGTTATAATAATAATATCTATATTAAAATTTTAATATTAATAGCGCTATATTTTATATCTTTAATATACTATAGCTAGTAAATAAAGAAGCCTAGCTAGGCTATGACTTAAATTTTAAAGCCTATAGGGTTAGGCTTACTTTTAATAGTCATAATAGTATTACTTCTGCCCATATAGTAGATTATATACTTATTAATAGCTAGGTAAGAGCTAGGCTAGAATAGCTATATAGATATGGCTTATATATACTTAGACTACTCTTCGACGCCTTAAAATACCCTTAGAAATAATATAGTCTTATTAACTTAGGTATAATTAAAGGGGCAAAAATACCTATAGATAAGCTAAAAGTTATTATATAAGATAAACTTAATAAATAAGTACTTAGCGCATTAAGCACCGGGCTTAAGGCTCTCTTAATAGCTTTATATACTCTTTTCCTTATATACTCCTATATAAATAAGCACTATAATTATCGTTATTACCTCTAAAGCTATTAGACCTTCCTATTTATAGAGTTTTAAGGTTCACTTTATTTCGGTTTTCTAGCTATTAATCTAACCATTCATTTTAAGCCACGAGACCTAGATTTTAGTATATACGACCCATTTTTCAACGAGGGATAACATATATAATAAGCGAGTATTATAAACAAGCAAGTATTACAATTTGAAATTTCTTAGTATTTATTATTACTATGATAAGAGGATATGTCCTAAGGAATAAACCAGTCATACTAGTTTATATTAGCAGAGGAGAATATTATATAACCTTAAAGGGTAATATAATATTATATCTAGTAATATACTTAAAGGTATTAAGTATAACTAAGTTATATTAATAGCTAAGGTAGCTAATATATAAGAGAGTACTAATAAGTATATTCTATATACTTAGGGTATAATACCTAATTATTATCCTTATTATTCTAATTAGGGTAATTATATAAGTAATCATAGTAATCAGAGAAGTAATCACTATAATCGCTTCTAGTTTATCGGTGATTATACCCTAGTTAGTAGGGAATTATAGGGCTTCTTCTTTAGTATATAACTCGTGCTTAGTTAGGCCGTGATATAATATTTCCCCTCTATTAATCTTATCCCTAAGGCTATTAAAGCTAATCGCCTAAATTTTCCTATAGTTTATTAGAACCTTCCTCTATAAATATTTCTAGTAGTACTAATAGCATATTAAAAGTAAAATCTCGGTCTACCGCGTATTATTATTACTTATTTAAGCTTATTAAAGAGATAGGTTATAAAGTTATATCTTATTCCTATTATGCCTAGAAGCACTTAAAGTATAAGATACTCGAGGGTATTTCTCGTTATTCTAAATATATCTATTAAGGCCATGCCTATAATAGTTCGGGGGTATTAGTCTCTGCTAGTTAATATAGCTATATTTATTATATTTTTCTTTCCTATTAACTTTTAGTAGTATCCCGCTTAGTGGCCGAGAAGTATTATCTAGAGCTTAAGGAAGAGAGGGTAAAAGAGGAGTTAATCGCTTTATAATAGTAGATAAATAAGTAGCTATCTTATCTAATATATTTTTATTATTAAAAGAAGTAAATTTATAAGCGGGGTATAAAGATAATATATTAGGGTCTAAATTCCTTAGATAAGTTAGAAGAGTTAGATCGCTGCGAGGCCGAGGCTATTATTAATGCTTAGTCTTTTAGGGCTATTAATATTATTAATTAGTCGGCGGTCTTTAATTTTAGTATTAATTCCCTTCCTTCCGGAGTTATTAATAAAAATCCTATAGTAGGTATTATACGCTAATAAGGTATTCTAGTGGTTCTTATATATTCTTAGAGTTAAGATAATTCTTTTATTTAATAAAATATATTATTTTACTATTAATTTTATTTATATTAAGGATAGCTTTTATAATATATTCTTTTAGTCTATTAACTTTTATTTCTAGTTTATTATTTAT